AAAAAAAAAAATATATATATATATATATATATATAAATATATATATATATATATATATATATATATATATATATATTATATATATATATAATATTATATATATATATATATATATATATATATATATATATATATATATATATATATATATATATATATATCCCTCTACTTACAATTGTCTTCATCTGATAGATCACCCACACCACAATTAGGTACTCCATTGCATCAAAGATCTTGGATATGCAGAAGTTGTTTTTGGAGCACAGGAACTGTTCACATTTTGGGCCTGAAGGGAGGAAATCAGTGGAGGAGATGTACTTCACTGTACTATTCTAATCAATATCTCCATTTTGATGATCCATTCAAAATCTTCCGATAGTTTAATTAGTAAAAGTTAGCAAAACTCTATCAAAAGATAATGAATGAGGCATACTGTTTAATTTTTTTATTAATTAAATATATATATTATATATATATATATATATATATATATATATATATATATAATATATATATATATATATATATATATATATATATATATATATATATAATATATATATATATATATATTATATATATATATTATATATATATATATATAATATATATATATATATATATATATATATATATATATATATATATATATATATATATATTATATATATATATATATATATATATATATATATATATTATATATATATATTATATAATATTATATATTATACTAAAATACTTTACGAAAAGAATCATGCAGTAACTGATTAGAGAGAGAAGTCTACTAGTTTTACGTTTGCATATTATAACTTTTTTTTACAACTTACAACAGGCAACTTTAACTTCATGCATCAGACATTTTCATTACTGATTTTTTTTACATTCAGAGTACTCAAGTTATTTACACTTATTATAAGTTTACCATACATAGCTTATTGGTGGGTGGGGTAGTAAAAAAAATGTTTATATCTTTTCGTTTCACTTAGGGGATGGGTTCAGGAATACAAACTTATCTGTGAAAGCAATTCACAATTAAATTATTATGCTAACAACACACAATTACATGTGACCTTTTCAACAGTGCCACAGAATTATATAAATGTGTTAGAAATAATCCCAAAAAGACAAGCTGTATTATATAAGTAATTATTACTAATGGAATCTTCCTGGTGAAAATTTATGCCATTTATCTTTGAATTCCAACAAAAATGAAAGTACAAAACTAATAGGTATTTTTTTTGTGAAGCACTATGTTAGTATTTCTATGCAAGTAAAAGTTAATGGTTACTGATCTTCTTGCTAAATTATAATTCCTAAATGTAAAGGAAGCCACACTAAGTACTGCTCTACAGTACCTGAGCCAAATTGGGAAAAAATTCTATTCTCAGCAACCTGTTTTGAGGGCTGTACAGGAAACATTGGACAGTTACTAAATTGTCATCAAACTGTTTATTAAATGATAGGAGAATATTTATAGGAAATGCAGTGCCAGTTAATATTTTCTGCAGTCTATCCAGTCACATTGTATTCCACTGGATATACAGCTGGAGTTGAGCAAGGTAACATTTATGAAGGAATTTTGAGGAACCAGTTAACTGGACTTGAGTCTTGGAGGCAGGAAGTACAATGCCCAAACTCTGAGGGAGAGGATGTGCTGTCAAAGTTCAGAGGGGAATCTTCTGAATTATGGTGTCTACACACTTTTGGAAAGAAAGCTATTAAATGAATGATGGTGAATGCGTTTTTTCTTTTGGATGCCCCCCTACCTCAGTGGGTAATAGCTGGTGTGTTAAACAAAATAGTGGCCTAGTGGCTAAAGCCCCCGCTTCACACACGGAGGGCCCCGGGTTCGATTCCCAGTGAGTGGAAACATTTCGACGCATTTCCTTACACCTGTTGTCCTGTTCACCTAGCAGCAAATAGGTACCTGGGTGTTAGTCGACTGGTGTGGGTTGCATCCTGGGGGACAAGATTGTGGACCCCAATGGATATAAGTTAGACAGTCCTCAATGATGCACTGACTTTCTTGGGTTATCCTGGGTGGCTAACGCTCTGGAGTTTACCTGGAGAGAGTTCCGGGGGTCAACGCCCCTGTGGCCCAGTCTGTGACCAGGCCTCCTGGTGGATCAGAGCCTGATCAACCAGGCTGTTACTGCTGGCTGCACGCAAACCAACGTACGAGCCACAGCCCGGCTGGTCAGGTACCGAACGAAATCTAATCTTATCTCTTTAACATGCATTCCACAAGGCATGACTGGATAAAACACCTGACTGGATAAAAAAAATGAATGCCCTATTATTTGTATTTTCTTATATAAACTAGTTCCCAGAGAAAGAAAGTTTCCTATTTATAAGACGAAGGTTGGAAGCACTGACCAGTTTATCCACAGGCTCTGGAATCACTATTACACCATTAACTAAATGAGATAGACAGAAATATCTTCCCAGGAGAGAGGATATTTGTGAACCAGTTGAATTTTTAATAGGAGTCTGTCAGGATATAGTTAAACACATTTCTGAGCCTAACTTTGTCCCAGAGGACAATCAAAATTGGACAGATAGGGTAGCTTGCCAGACTAATAAGATAGCTATATTTCAATTCAAATTTTTTGTTTCTGTATTCTATGATACTATCAGCTTAGGTTAATACATATTTTTAATATACGTATTCATCTTTAAATATCTTCTCATATATGGGGCTCCTATCTTAAATATAATGAAGTACTGTATTATGTTTCCTCTCCCAGGCAACTTAAATACCATGACCATATGCATGTACCTGTATTAAAATCGTGATCATAAGAACCTTAATTTAATTAGTGTCAGATTTAAACAAATCCTGTGGCTGGACAACAGTCGGGAAGAACGGATAAAAGTGCGTCAAATCCAGAATAAGTAAGTAAGTAAGTAAGTTTATTCTGGTATACACAAATACAGTTACATAGAATTATCATACATAGCAGCATATGTGTAGAGAACCTAGGATAACCCCAAAAAAGTCAGACAGAGTGACTTATTTCCATTGGGGTCCACTGTTCTTATGGTCTGCTGGACAAATTGATTTTCGGATGTGACTAATGAAGTCTATTGTTGTTGCTGTCTGATGAGTAAATTTATTTTGGATTTAATGAATGAAGTCTGTTAAAATGCAGAACTGTTTGTAAATGTTATGATGAAAAGACAATCGCATCATTCAGATTTAATGTACAATCAGTTTTAGCAGCCATTCCCCTTCCCCTGTTAGTTGTTAAGTCATAAGTTCACTATTTATATGTTTAGTGCAAGCTCAATGAAACAAACCATAAATATTTACTGCCAATTTAAACAGCTTTTTCATCAGTCGAGTAATCAGTAAACACAAAAGGAGTCATTTTTCTGAATGAATATGCTCTATGCAAATCACAATGACTGACTTCACCCACCAAAATGTAAATACCAGAGGGTAATAGCGACACGTTTCCTATCTATTAATTCACTTAATCTTTAATCATACACATTAGACACATGCTTACTGACTGAAAATCATTTTATAAACAAATACAATAAATATATTCTAATTCCATACATGCCTAAAGTATTTAAGAAACATAGTGCCTACTTTTAAACATGTGCTTGGAGAAAATGTGACTATATTATACTATTCGTACACGCTTTACTGTTTTCAGTATTTTTTCTTCGAATGTTTTTAAATTTAATTTTCTTTGTTTACCCATGCCTCATAGACATGATCCACATTTGCTAAAAGTTCTCTACCTAATTCTTGCTGTCATAAATATGTCAGGCATTTTTTTTTCATCTTAGCTATTGTTTATCTGTAGCTCATGGTTTTCATCCCTCATCCTTAGAAAATGGGTAAATAATATATGTGTATTAGCTCCCATGAACACAAACCTGTTTTTGCATGTTTTAGTATGTAATAATAATAATAATAATAATGACACTGTGCTCTTGGGAGATTCTGAAGAGAAGTTGCAGAGATTGGTGGATGAATTTGGTAGGGTGTGTAAAAGAAGAAAATTGAAAGTGAATACAAGAAAGAGTAAGGTTATGAGGATAACAAAAAGATTAGGTGATGAAAGATTGGATATCAGATTGGAGGGAGAGAGTATGGAGGAGGTGAATGTATTCAGATATTTGGGAGTGGACGTGTCAGCGGATGGGTCTATGAAAGATGAGGTGAATCATAGAATTGATGAGGGGAAAAGGGTGAGTGATGCACTTAGGAGTCTGTGGAGACAAAGAACTTTGTCCTTGGAGGCAAAGAGGGGAATGTATGAGAGTATAGTTTTACCAACGCTCTTATATGGGTGTGAAGCATGGGTGATGAATGTTGCAGCAAGGAGAAGGCTGGAGGCAGTGGTGATGTCATGTCTGAGAGCAATGTGTGGTGTGAACATAATGCAGAGAATTCGTAGTTTGGAAGTTAGGAGGAGGTGCGGGATTACCAAAACTGTTGTCCAGAGGGCTGTTGAGGTGGTTCGGACATGTGGAGAGAATGGAGCGAAACAGAATAACTTCAAGAGTGTATCAGTCTGTAGTGGAAGGAAGGCGGGGTAGGGGTCGGCCTAGGAAAGGTTGGAGGGAGGGGGTAAAGGAGGTTTTGTGTGCGAGGGGCTTGGACTTCCAGCAGGCATGCGTGAGCGTGTTTGATAGGAGTGAATGGAGACAAATGGTTTTTAATACTTGACATGCTGTTGGAGTGTGAGCAAAGTAACATTTATGAAGGGATTCAGGGAAACCAGCAGGCCGGACTTGAGTCCTGGAAATGGGAAGTACAGTGCCTGCACTCTGAAGGAGGGGTGTTAATGTTGCAGATTAAAAACTGTAGTGTAAAGCACCCTTCTGGCAAGACAGTGATGGAGTGAATGATGGTGAAAGTTTTTCTTTTTCGGGCCACCCTGCCTTGGTGGGAATCGGCCAGTGTGATAATAAAATAAAATAATAATAATAATAATAATAATAATAATAATAAATCTTTATGTCTATAAGTACATAATACAACTTATACAAAAGAAGCATCTCTCTTTCCCTTCTAGTGCAAGTCTTATTGTTCTTTCTCTTAAGACATTGTGAGGTGCTTGAAAAGCGTTGTACTGTCCTGCCTTTCGCATTCAACAGCTATGTACAACAATCATCCTCCCTCTTTCCGGCACTTTAGATCGCCAATCTTTCATGAAGGATCTTTAAATATACATGTATCTTCTTCTGGCTCTGTGCTTTGGTCACGAATATTGTTTTTTACAGTAACCAAAAAGAGTATTGGTACTTTCAAGAATGAATCATGCATTCACAATCTATAGAAAACAAGTGTGGCACTACTCAGCTGCCTGCCATTTCCTTTTGGTATTCTCCAGCTCTAAATAGCCTATTCATCATTATGATTTGTACATAAGCTTTCATATCTAAACAGACTGAAGCAAAATGTCTAAGCAAGATGTTTAATAGAATTATAGTTTGTTATTCTAACCAGAGTTCATATTTTTGGGAGAACTGTTGTAAATCTGTCCATCCCCCATGGCTAATTAATGTGTTAAAGTGTTAGGCAGTTTACAATACATGCAATAAGTATTTTATTATAACAGTTGCAAATTATTGGTAAAACATGTGTGTTATATAAGAATTATTAGGAATTAAGTAGTTATTCAACCAAATGTGTCATGAGCCGCAACTTACTATCCTGAATTTCTGTCCAAATGCCCTCAAATCCCTTTGCTCCCACTGCTCTGTCAGCAGTTAAAAAGGCCACCCTCATTAATGAAGATTTGGAGATTATTATAGAAGCATCGTCGGTCAAGGCATCACCACATAACTCGATTGGTAATTTATCCAGATCTGGCCAAACTCGAACTACTGCTGCTGGACATCCTCTCTCTGCGAAGTAATACCAGACATGGTCATATCAATACAAATCCTTGAGTTTGAGGATATCTGTTACACTTTTTGTTGTATAGTTCAGTACTGTATAGTATCTGCAGTTAAATATCTAAAATTTACGTGAAAGCAATTTTTTTTCTTTGGAGCTCCAATCCTCGAGTTTTGTATGTAATAGGTGTAAATGGTATGTTGGTACTGGCAAACTGTGAAAAAAGGCACTTGGGTACAGTTCAGACATTTATTGAAGGTATCAATGTGCCACAAGTGGCTTCATCAGTCCTGAACTGTACAAAAGTGTCCTTTTCCACAGATTCATTAACCTGGTTGTAAGATTGCAAAGATAATGCTGGTTTACCTGCTGGATTTCCTTCAACAGAAAATGACTGAAGCCAAAGCAAAATTTTGTGGTAGGGACGAACGTGAATAAACCAGGTGCAGGAAAATGCCCCTCCCTGACGATCAGGGTCAGGACCGTCGTATTTCTTAGGCCAGTGTGGAGAGTGAATGATTCCATATTCTTCATTGGTGATGTTTCCACCACAGTCTGAGGAAACAAGTCATTAAATACGAACAAATAAAATATATGGAATGTTGCTAGGGTGGTTATATGCTGTAAAAAGTATACCAACAACTACCAAACAAGAAGAACAGTTAAGATAAAACTACTGTATATAAAACACAATCTACAATCAGCATTCAGCTACTGTACCCTTCATGGGCACTTCCTTGATGCCAATGAAAGGCTTTTGATTCAAGATATTAGAGTTAACATCATTTTCTGTAGTTCAAACCTGATTACCTCTTATACCCCAATGGATTTAGCACTTCCCATGAAATTAATAATAATGTCAATCATTTATCGCACTTGAGACATCACATTTACTGCCACATTTACCTGCGGTTCCTATTAAAAAAAAATGATCTTTTCTTCATATATTTTATAATAGGTTTTATAATGTTAAATTATGTTCTAACCAGAATGTGTTTTCTGGTAATTCTACTCATAGATACTTTAAGGGTTTCTTGCTAAATAATACAAGTGAATTAATGTATTAATCCTAATTATTAAAGAGATGGAGGGGTAAGCCAGTGGAAGGCCTCGGTCTGATGACCAAAAGTGGCGGGTCATCATATGACTAAGACCCACATCAGGAAATACTTGTCCTGTTTCCTGACAAAGCATACCTAACCTAATTTAAGTAGATTACTATTATTATTAGTTAGTCATCTTTAGAAGAGAATAAAGAAGATCTTTTAGAAATATTGGTGTAGTATGGTCGCATCTTTTGACGTGCTGGGTGTGAGGTAATCAAAGAATGCGGTGTATTACCTTGCACATACAAATACACAAATGTGACGTGAAAGGAATAAACTAAAATTCTGCAAGGAAAAACTTACTTTGAGAATGAGAGAAAACAACTACAAATGAATATGATGAAGCATCAAGGCGTAGTGCACACGTGTCCGTGATGAAATGAGGTAACCCACAGACACAAACAGCATATGGGCGCCTGGCAAACCTGAGAATAGCGTTCCGATACCTTAGTAAGGAATCGTTCAAGACACAGTACACTGTGTATGTAAGGCCCATACTGGAGTATGCAGCACCAGTTTGGAACCCACACCTGGTCAAGCACATCAAGAAATTAGAGAAAGTACAAGGGTTTGCAACAAAGCTTGTTCTGGAGCTCAGGCGAATGTCGTACGAAGAAAGGACTGACGACACTGGAGGACAGGAGGGTCAGGGGAGACATGGTAACGACATACAAAATACTGTGTGGAATAGATAAGGTGGACAAAGACAGGATGTTCCATAGAGGAGACACAGAAACAAGGGGTCACAATTGGAAGTTGAAGACTCAGATGAATCACAGGGATGTTAGGAAGTATTTCCTCAGTCATAGAGTGGTCAGGAAGTGGAATGTGATGTAGTGGAGGCAGGAACCATACATAGCTTTAAGACGAGGTATGCCAAAGCTCAGGAAGCAGAGAGAGGAAAATTAAATCTTCATCAGAGTACAAAACAAATTCTGGCCACAAAATAGAGCGAAACACCAACGTCAAAGACCTGGGAGTGATCATGTCGGAGGATCTCACCTTCAAGGACCATAACATTGTATCAATCGCATCTGCTAGAAAAATGACAGGATGGATAATGAGAACCTTCAAAACTAGGGAGGCCAAGCCCATGATGACACTCTTCAGGTCACTTGTTCTATCTAGGCTGGAATATTGCTGCACACTAACAGCAACTTTCAAGGCAGGTGAAATTGCTGACCTAGAAAATGTAGAGAACCTTCACGGCGCGCATAACGGAGATAAAACACCTGAATTACTGGGAGCGCTTGAGGTTCCTAAACCTGTATTCCCTGGAACGCAGGAGGGAGAGATACATGATTATATACACCTGGAAAATCCTAGAGGGACTAGTACCGAACTTGCACATGAAAATCACTCACTACGAAAGCAAAAGACTTGGCAGACGATGCAACATCCCCCCAATGAAAAGCAGTTGTGTCACTAGCACGTTAAGAGACCATACAATAAGTGTCAGGGGCCCGAGACTGTTCAACTGCCTCCCAGCATACATAAGGGGGATTACCAACAGACCCCTGGCAGTCTTCAAGCTGGCACTGGACAAGCACCTAAAGTCGGTTCCTGACCAGCCGGGCTGTGGCTTGTACGTTGGTTTGCGTGCAGCCAGCAGCAACAGCCTGGTTGATCAGGCTCTGATCCACCAGGAGGCCTGGTCACAGACCGGGCCGCGGGGGCATTGACCCCCGGAACTCTCTCCAGGTAAACTCCAGGTATATATATATATACATGTATGTAAATAATTATATATATATATAATATATATATATATATATATATAATATATATATATATATATTAGTATATATATATATATATAAATATATATATATATATATATTATATATATATATATATATACACAGTGGACCCCCGGTTAACGATATTTTTTCACTCCAGAAGTATGTTCAGGTGCCAGTACTGACCGAATTTGTTCCCATAAGAAATATTGTGAAGTAGATTAGTCCATTTCAGACTCCCAAACATACACGTACAAACGCACTTACATAAATACACTTACATAATTGGTCGCATTTGGAGGTAATCGTTATGCGGGGGTCCACTGTATAAATAATACATTAATATATATATATATACATATTAATATATATATATATATATATATATATATATTATATAATATATATACATTATACAGTGGTCCCTCGTTTTTCGTAATTAATCCGTTCCTGGAGCCGTTACTATAAACGAAATTTACGATTTACGAATCAATTTTCCCCATAAGAAATAATGTAAATACAATTAATCCGTTCCTGACACCCAGAAGTATTAAAACAAAAAATTTTTTAACATGAAATATACATGTAGTAGTACATAAACAATACAATGGGAAATGATGAATGAAACATTAACAGCATAACACTTACCTTTATTGGAGATTCTTCTTAGTGTATGGGAGACTGGAGGAGGAGAGTGGATTGTTTATAGTTTGGAAGGGGAATCCCCTTCCATCAACACCTCAGGTACCATTTGCTTTTCTGGGGTTGCTTCTCTTCTCTGTTTCTTAATGCCACTAGGACCACCTTGAGAGTCACTGGAGTCCTGTCTCACAAAATAACTGTGGAGAGAGCTCTGTTTCTGGCGTCTCTTTAACACTTCCCTAAAATGGCCCAAGACTTTGTCACTGTACATGTTGCCAACCTGGCTTGCAACAACCTTGTTAGGGCGATGTTTCTCCATAAAGCTTTCCATCTTACCCCACATAGTAAAAATCTCTTTAATTTCTGAAGAAGGCACCTTCTTCCATCTCTCTTCCTCCTCTGCAGCAAGATTCTGAGCTGCGATGTGTTGCTCTTCCTGCTGAAGCTCTTGCAGTTCCTCAGTGGTGAGCTCTTCATTGTGGTCTTCCACCAATTCTTCCACATCCTCCAAAGTAACATCCAACCCCATGGAACTCCCCAGTGCCACAATTGATTTTGCAACAGACATAGGCTCATTAGGGTCAGTCCCAAATCCTTCAAAATCCCTCTTGTCGACACAATCTGGCCACAATTTTCTCCAGGCAGAGTTCAAAGTCCTGGTAGTCACTCCCTCCCAAGCCATACCTATAAGGGTTATGCAGTGGAGGATGCTGAAGTGTTCTCTCCAAAATTCCCTTAGGGTCAAGTGAGTGTCTGTGGTCACAGTCAAGCACCTGTGAAACATTGCTTTTGTGTAGTTTTTTAAAGTTTGCAATAACCTGCTGGTCCATGGGTTGGAGGAGAAGAGTGGTATTCGGGGGCAAGAACTTTACTGTGATGAACCCAAACTCCTCGAAAATTAGGTCATCCAAGTTTGGAGGATGAGCAGGTGCATTGTCCATTACTAGCAGGCACTTGAGATCCAATTTCTTTTCCAGGAGATACTCCTTCACACTAGGGCCAAACACTTCATTGAACCACTCGACGAAAATTTCCCTCGTGACCCATGCCTTACTATTAGATTTCCAAAACACACACAATTTACTCTTCACTAAAGACACCCTTCTCGTGCATTATTCTTACTGAGACCTGGCTTAAGCAGGACACAATAGATATCTACCCTCTACCAGGATACTAGCAGGCACTTGAGATCCAATTTCTTTTCCAGGAGATACTCCTTCACACTAGGGCCAAACACTTCATTGAACCACTCGACGAAAATTTCCCTCGTGACCCATGCCTTACTATTAGATTTCCAAAACACACACAATTTACTCTTCACTAAAGACACCCTTCTCGTGCATTATTCTTACTGAGACTTGGCTTAAGCAGGACACAATAGATATCTACCCTCTACCAGGATACACAGCAATTCACAACTGCAGACCAAACCAAGTTGGGGGTGGTATTGCAATCTATTACTCTAACCAATTATCTTGTCTTAGCACCACTTGCTTTAGTGATGAATATGGGGAATACATTTTTGCTAATTTTACTGTAAAAAACCTTAAGACGCCTATAACAATCGGTGCCATTTACCGGATACCTCACACAAACATCCCAAATTTCAGTGAGAAATTAAAGTCACTAATAACAAACAGACAAATGAATAAGCACCACCTTCTCTTAGCTGGAGACTTCAACATCAACCTTGGCTTACTAGATGATCAGCCTGTAACTGATTTCATCAACAATATGAACAACACACTTCTCATACCAACAATAACTAAACCAACCAGGCTCACTGAGACAAGTGCAACCATAATAGACCACATATGGACCAATATACTAGCCCCCCTTAAATCAGGGATAATCACAAATAGCGCTACAGACCACTACCCTACCTTCCTCCTGACAAACATTAGTAAACCACCACTTGAATACAACAAAGTCTCATTTAGACTCCATGACGAGGCCCCAGTAAGGAAGTTCACAGCTGACCTAGAGACTGTTGATTGGCCTACAGAATTCTCCAAGGCCAATAGTATTGACATTTTTCTTAACAAATTACTTAGACTATACAACAAACATTGTCCTATAAAAACAAAACAGATCACAAACAAACGGCTTGGTTGCCCATGGCTAACCAGCACCATTCTGAAATCCATTGACAAGAAACACCAATATGAAAAGCAATACAGACAGGGCTTAATACACAAAGATATTCTTAAACACTATTCATCAGCTCTCACCAAAGTAATAAAGAAAGCCAAACAACTATACTACTCCAGTAGATTCACAGACACTAGAGGAGATATAAAAAAGACCTGGAAAACACTCTCTCAGATTCTAGGGACCCACAAACTGAGAAAAACCAAGAATATTGTCGTAACTAAACCTAATGAAACACCACTACATCCCAATGACACAGCTAACAAGATAAACGACTTCTTCTCAAACATAGGATCTAATCTCGCCAGTAAAATCCCACATACCAATGCCCATGCCGGGGACTACCTAGATGGGAATTTCCCTAATTCCTTCTATCTTGCACCAACTGAGCCCATGGAAGTCATTGAGATTATAAAGTCACCTAAAAATAACTTGGGGAATCTGTCTCACGTCCCACCATTACTGTACAAGCGAGCGGCCCATGTCCTTTCGCATGCTATTTCATTACTTTTTAACAAGTCACTAGAGACTAGCACCTTCCCGAAACTACTCAAGATGGCAAGGGTTACACCAATACATAAAGGTGGTGACCCTACAGACTTAAACAACTATAGGCCAATATCTAACTTACCATTGCTATCCAAAATCTTTGAGAAACTCGTGCACAGGAGACTGTATTCATTTATAACGGCTCAAAACATACTCAACCCCCTGCCAATTTGGATTCAGGAAAAATAAAAGCACTAATGATGCAATCATAAAAATGCTAGATCTGCTTTACACAGCATTGGAAAATAAGGAATATCCACTAGGAATTTTTATTGACCTAAGAAAAGCTTTTGACACAGTAGACCACGACATCCTACTCCACAAACTTGATCATTACGGTATAAGAGGCCATGCGCTTGCTTATTTCAAATCTTACATTACTAATAGGTATCAGTACGTCACCATTAAAGACACAGCATCAGCAACACGGCCACTTGATACTGGAGTTCCGCAGGGAAGTGTCCTTGGTCCCCTGCTCTTCCTCATATACATCAATGACCTTCCAAACGTATCCCAACACCTGAAACCTATTCTCTTAGCTGATGACACGACTTATGTCATCTCTCACCCTAATCTTGCCACCCTCAACACCATTGTGAATGAGGAGCTGATTAAAATATCGACTTGGATGACAGCCAATAAACTTATGCTTAACACTGACAAAACCTACTATACTATGTTTGGTAGCAGAGCAGGAGATGCACAAATTAACATTAAGATTGACAACACTCTAATTACCAGAAATAATGGGGGAAAATTCCTAGGCTTATACCTCGACAACAACCTGAATTTCAGCACCCATATCCAGCATATAACCAAAAAAGTATCCAAAACGGTTGGGATCCTCTCCAAGATACGATACTACGTGCCGCAAAATGCCCTTCTCACACTATACCACTCACTTATTTATCCATACCTCACCTATGCTATTTGTGCTTGGGGATCAACTGCAGCAACACACCTAAAGCCAATAATAACCCAACAAAAAGCTGCAGTAAGAATAATCACTAAATCCCATCCCTGGCAACACACCCCCCCACTCTTCATAGACCTAAACTTACTCCCAGTTCAGTACATCCACACTTACTACTGTGCAATCTACATCTACAGGGCCTTAAACTCTAATATCAACCTTGACCTAAAACACTTTCTTGATAGTTGTGACAGAACCCACAGGCATAACACCAGACACAAACATCTCTACGACATTCCCCGTGTCCGACTAAACCTTTACAAAAATTCAATGTATGTCAAAGGCCCTAAAATCTGGAATACCTACCTGAGAACTCTAGAACTGCAGACACATTCATCACCTTCAAAACTACCATTAGAAAACATCTTATCTCCCTGATACACCCCGTCAACTAACTACACGAATACCACCTGGTGGTTCACACTTACACTCACTCACTCATTTGACCATAAACAGAAATATTAATCTCAATCTTAAAATAATGAATCCTGTGATACTCCAATACTGAAACTATGTACTGTGCCAAAACAAAAGCATTCACATTGCTAAACTCACAAACTAGTATTTAGTCACTTAGCCATAATACCAACTTACCTCATAATTTGTAATATTTTACAATTAAGAATAAAACTAAGTATGCCCGAAATGCCTAGCCATGCTAAGCGTTCTAGTGGTACACTCTGTAATCACAATTTTACTACATGTAAACCACACAATAACCAAATTTCTGTAAACTCAGCATTGTAATCCTTATAGAGAATAAACTTTGAATTGAATTGAATTGAATAACATTGTTTTTCCTGAACACTCTGGGATTTTCAGAATGGTACACTAGTAATGGCTTCACTTTGAAATCCCCACTAGCATTAGCACAGAACATTAGCGTCAGCCTGTCTTTCATAGGCTTGTGTCCTGGCATTGCCTTTTCCTCTTGTGTAATGAAGGTCCTCTTTGGCATTTTCTTCCAAAAGAGGCCTGTTTTGTCACAATTGAACACTTGTTCAGGTTTCAGTCCTTCAGCCTCTATGTACTCCTGGAATTCATGCACATATTTTTCAGCCGCCTTGTGGTCCGAACTGGCAGCCTCACCATGCCTTACCACACTGTGTATGCCAGTACGGTTCTTAAATCTCTCAAAGCAGCCTTTGCTGGCCTTAAATTCACTCACTTCACCACTATTTGCAGGCAATTTCTTTATCAAATCTTCATGCAACTGCCTAGCCTTTTCACAAATAATCGAAGTCATAAGAGTATCTCCTGCTAATTGTTTCTCATTTATCCACACCAATAATAACTTCTCAATCTCTTCCAGTGCTGGTGATCTCATTTTTGTCAGCATAGTTACTCCCTTTGCAACAACAGCATCCTTTATTTCCTTTTTCTTGGCCACTACAGAACATAAGGTTGTGTAGGGTTTCTTATATGTCCTGGACAGTTCGGCCACATTTGTACCACTTTCATATTGTTCAATGACGGTTTTCTTAAATTCAGTCGTATTTCTCACCTTCTTTACCACAGGCTTGGCACTAGGAGCTTTCTTTGGAGCCATGGTAGTTTATTTAGTACTTGCAAGCACTAAAATAAATGGAATATTATGGAATATTTCGCTGGAGCACGTGAGGGGACCTTCGCTCACTGGTGAACAATGCCAGACTGGCTGCCGCCCCGGCTCACGCCGTGGGTACACGTCCCGGACGAACTACGACTCGCGAGTCAACCTATGAAAAGCGAGTCCATGTTCATACAAAAATACCCCTATGATTGGCGAATTTTACGATTGCCGGGAACTACGAAAAGCGGGGGACCACTGTATATACATGTATATATATATATATATATATATAACAAGTTGGCCATCTCCCACCTAGGCAGGGTGACCCAAAAAGAAAGAAAATCCCCAAAAAGAAAATACTACTTTCATCATCATTCAACACTTTCACCTCACTCATACATAATCACTGTTTTTGCAGAGGTGCTCAGAATACAACAGTTTAGAAGCATATACGTATAAAGATACACAATTTATCCCTCCAAACTGCCAATATCCCAAACCCCTCCTTTAAAGTGCAGGCATTGTACTTTCCATTTCCAGTACTCAAGTCCGGCTATATAAAAAAAACCAGTTTCCCTGAATCCCTTCACTAAATATTACCCTGCTCACACTCCAACAGCTCGTCAAGTCCCAAATACCATTCATCTCCATTCACTCCTATCTAACACGCTCATGCACGCTTGCTGGAAATTCTCACCCACAAAGCCTCCTTTACCCCCCCCTTCCAACCTTTTCGAGGACGACCCCTACCCCGCCTTCCTTCCCCTACAGATTTGTACACTCTCCATGTCATTCTACTTTGATCCATTCTCCCTAAATGACCAAACCATTTCAACGACCCCTCTTCAGCCCTCTGACTAATACTTTTATTAACTCCACACCTCCTAATTTCCACACTCCGAATTTTCTGCATAATATTTACACCACACATTGCCCTTAGACAGGACATCTCCACTGCCTCCTCGCTGCAGCATTTACAACCCAAGCTTCACACCCATATAAGAGTGTTGGTAGTGTGGATGATAGTGAAAGTGTTTCTTTTTCAGGCCACCCTGCCTCTGTGGGAGACATCGGGTGTGTTAAAAAAATATATGCTGTATATACATAAGCAGCATTTAACTTGCCTCTAAACAACATTTCCTTCTTTTTAAACTGATATATTGCCTCGAAGCCACTATAGACATGTTCATGGTCAGTTCTGAGGACCACACGGAGACCCACAGCCTCAAGCTCACTCTCTATGGGACCAGGAGCTGCCAGGCCACAGTAACGACCATTCAGTCTCTCTCTCTCTACATCAGATTCAACTGGCCTGTACACGTTATAGATCTCCACCCAGTCTTCTTGACAGTGATTTCTGGAAATATTAAGGAGGATTAGTAACTTAAATGAAAGAGTCAGGGAGGGATTTATAATATTAATAATATATCTTTTTCCAAAAAAAAACAGCATGCAATTTTTTTTAAATTCATAGAATGCATAGAATCTCACAAGTGAATGTATTAGAGAGGAATACTTTATGCAATTATGAAAGTGTAGTGGAAGGAATAATTTACTCATGACTGTGTTGCAGAGGGAATATTTTACTTACTAAAATGATTGTGTTAGGAGAGGAATGTCTCTGATGTCAGTGTATTTATGAAAGGCTAAGTGGAAAGAACACTTAACTCATGAGAACGAAAGTGTTGGGGAGAAATACTTAAATATATGTTGGAGAGAAATATATTACCTATAAAAGTGTTGAAGGAGGAACACTTGACTCACTCACATTGAAGAACAGAGCAATCATTTTCAAGGTTGTATTCAGTGCCATAAGGATCTTTAAGTACATATCATTAATAATCATTCTTAATATAGTTTGCAGGACTCTGAGTCCTGGAGGAGGGAAGGGCAGTGCTTACACTCTGGAGAGCTGGGGATAATGCAAGTGTTTTTTATTCTCTGGGTTATCCTGCTTTCCTGGGGAAATTATCAGTACTAGCCACATTGATGTTGTTGAATTATGTAAATGATTTGCTGTGGGACATTTACAAACAATATATAATCATAGCTACAAGAATTTTATGTAAAAATTTGGATAAGCTGACAAAAGTAGTGATGAATAATGGAAATTCATTGAAGAAGAACACCATGTAATGAACATGTAATGTGTGCTACAACTATATTTAAAAAATATATGATTCAGTAAATTAAAAGTTGGCCAGTTTTCCTAAACCACAAATAAATAATTACACACTCACACATACAGATCTCTTTTTAAACTTCTTTTATGAATAAAATTATAATTTTACACGTCAAATTTTTGGCAATTGGAGAAACTCACCCATAAGTTAAGTTATTTTTCTCGCTGCGGAGTTCGAACTGGTAAAAAGCCAGGCGAACCTGCTCATCTGGGTTGGCTTGAAAAGTGAACTCACAGGTGGTATTGGACGGGTAGTTGGCCGGGTGCCGAGGAGAGTTAAATGAGCCTTCTTTACGGCTTGAGCTATAGTAGGTGAATATGCATTTTCCATCTGGAGATGGTGTGCCTGGGATCTTGTATTCTAAAATAAAACTTAAGTTACTACATAAAGAAAATCATAAAATATCGTGCATGTAGTATAAACATTGATATAAAGTGAGAAACCATTTGGACTACAATACAAAAGACAGGTAAGACATGTATGTTTACTCTGAGTAGCCTGAGTCAGGGTTCTACTGGAGAGGCTTTCTGACACCACAATAGTCTGAGTGCTAAACTCTTTTTTTTTTTTTTTTTTTTGAACCTATAATTTTGTGATGCATAACTATTTAATGCAGAATTTGAACCTTTTAGATATCTAAATTGATGTTCCAGTGAGTGACATTCCATCACTCTAGAGAAATTTGAAGGGTTAAAGATGGTTGTCAAGACGGTTATAGATCACCTGTGAATTCATAAAGACCAATATCAGAATGACCGTTCAGGTATTTTAATTACATGTGCTACATTTTATGTTTTCCAGGTCAGAGAGAGATCAGTTATTATGGTTTGATCATGAGTGGTTGAATTAATTTATGAGAATGCAAGATGGTGGAGCAACATATTTTGCTTCAGATCTGGGCACATTTATGTATTTAAATAAAAGCAGTAACATTCCATATTTTTTTCATTCTTTTCATAAACTAACTTTTCTCATAAACTTATGCAGAAACTGAGGGACATTTCACAAAGAAAAGCAGAACAAAACAGTGGGCAGAAAACCTTGCGAAGACAACATTACGGATGATGTTCATTAGAGGTTATGACATTCATGAAGGAAGGGGAGGAGGAAAGGAAGGAAAAGGAGCTCTAGGAGACTGAGAGGCAAGCAAGTTCAATCGCAGGAAGAGTGGACAGGTCCAATTCTCTGGATCATGACACCACCTCTGTACAGACGGGCTCAGAGTAGGCACAACACATAAGAACATAAGAATGGAAGAACACTGCAGCAGGCATATTGGCCCATATGAGGCAAATCCTTATCAAAACCACCCATCCTCACCCATGTGTTTGTTCAACCTTGTCCCAAATCTATCCAAAAGTTTACTTCAGTACCTAAGGTATTAATCAAACCCAGACCTCCCCCGTCTTGGCTGTAGGTCACCTTCCTTATACCAGGTAAAGTCTCATTATCTTGGATCAAATGCATATGCTGCATGAGGTATCCTCACACACATTTATTAATGGGGTTCACATTATTAGATTCATGAGGGGAAAGGGGAGAGTGCTCAACCTGTAGAGGTCATACAAAGCCTGGGGAAACGGGAGGTAATCAGCTTCAATCCAAGGAAGGTGAAGTCAGATCCAATTCCTTGAATCAATTCTCCTTCACTGAACGGACATGTTTATCAAGGTGATATTTACACGCTAAGGACATGGTCCAGGTAGTCTCTACGAACATGGTCCAGGCGGTCTAGCAGTAGGTTCGCCGGCATTGTCCCGGCTCAGGTCTTTTCCAGATGGAGACCCGGCTCTCACATGAAAAACACTGAATGAGAAAGATATCATTGGACTTCAGTCTACACATCTGTAGCAGATATTTGAAGGTCATGTAATATTTAAAGGCTACATCCCCTGAGGGTGTAACTACCCTCAGGGAAGAGATGGCATCATGGATCAAATACCGTGAAACCAAGAGGCAGGCCATCAAGGAATGACTATTACAGTGGATTGATCCAGTGAATAATGATCACCCACATACTCTCAAGAGCAGAGTTTCTGGGCATACATGCCGAAAAGAGGTTTAAATGAAGACGATGTCGTAGATGAGGGTAAAAAAAAAATAAACATATGCATGGGTATCAGGCAGACTGATCTGAAGTCTTTCGTAAACCCCCGATGCAAGAGTGCGGGAAAAAATCAGGAAATCAGGAACAGGTCCTACTGAACATTGTGAATCCTTGACTGAAATCAGTGAATAAGCTAATTTTGCTCATGGAGAGCGAAACGTTGCCACAATATCACATTAATTGCATTGGTGTCTACCTAACATTTCGTCGGTAATTCTACCATTATTTCTACTAGTATTTGATGGTAATGTTGACAACCATCTTGGATTTCTTAAGCCACTCAAGGTTAACAGTAATGCCCACTGGATCATCAAGACTGACAGTGACACCCACTTGAGCATCAAAACTGACACCCACTAGATCATCATGGCTGACACCCACTGGCTCATCAAGGCTGACAGTAACAACCACTGGATTATCAATCTGGACATCTTAGAGAACAATTATGCACCATAAAATTCCATTACCTTCCACAGTTCCACTAGAATAGATCTAATTTTGTTATTCATGACTGTTCAAATGTTTCTCTCTCTCTCTCTCTCTCTTCTCTCTCTGCATTGATTACTGTTCATGACATTAATTAAAGCATTAACATATGAAATAACATTCTCCTGACAAAATTTATTATCCAGTTTTTTTAGTACTGATGTATTATTCAGACCTTGAAAAAGCAATCAATAGAACCACTTCCAAGAAGGAATTGGGAATTGTAGAACAGAAATAGGATCAATTTGATGCTCACCAGTTTCAAATTTGTAATGGGCTTTGAATCTTCCTCCCTGATAGTTGCCTGAGCTAAACACCATGACAAGTCTTGGTCCTGACGACACCACAGTCTGAGGTAACGTTTTGCCACACACCTCGTAGTCAGGGTTGTCGTAGGCATTCTCCATTTCTTGCCCCTTCAAGTATATTCTGAGATAACCATCGGAACAGCTGCAAACAGAGAGTTAAGAGAATATAACTGTGTTTTGAATAAAATTAGGAAATGATCTTGACTAAATTATTATATTTATGGGGAAGTGGTAAACCCATAGGTGTTATACGAGGCCTGGGTAATTAGTGTTAATTAGGTGTATTCATTTCAAGGGAAGAGGAGCTTTAATTTCTTAGATCTAGAGTTCTTCAAGGTAATACCTTGACGGGAGATGACGTAAAGATTTTTGGCATGGCTGATGCCGCTACTAGCTGGTACCTACATTACCCAGACATACATTGGTACTGTACATAACCCTGTACCATGCAGCATAGAAATTACAGTATAAACCAATGTATCTGTTATCACAATCTATAACTGAACCCTAAACATCTATATCAAAAGTTTCATTACATTGAAAAGCAGGGGTGCCACGAGTACACTAAGAGACAACACAGTGAGTGTCAGGAGCCCAAGACTGTTCAACTGCCACCACCCAGCATACATAAGGGAGATTACCAATAGACTTCCGGCTGTCTTCAAGAAGGCGCTGGACAGGCACCTAAAGTCAGTACCTGATCAGCCGGGATATGGTTCGTACGTCAGTTTACGTGTGGCCAGCAGTAACAGCCTGGCTGATGAGGCCCTGATCCACCACAAGGCCTGCTCACGGACCAGGCCTCGGGGGCATTGATCCCCGGAACCCTCTCCAGGTATACTATACTACACTTCAACACTGAGATTACGAAATTTGCCACTAGAGACTATGTAAATGAAAATTACAAAATTCTGTACATGTTATGGGTATTTGATCATAGCTGAATAAGGGATATCCAGATAACGTGATGCACAACCAAATATTTCACGGAAATTATAGTATAAAACCTGAACAAACATTTTCAAGCATTTCGTAGACAAGTATAAAACATTCTACATGTCGTATAACAGGAGGTACAAGTTTCTGCAGTCGTTTTACAGTGGCCACATAAACAGTGCATACCTCATACCAATGATTAAACACAAAATGGCCTCTAAACTGTTGTATCTGGGTGCCTCTGCAAAAACTGTGATTATGTATGAGTGAGGTGAAAGTGTTGAATGATGATGAAAGTGTTGAATGATGATGAAAGTATTTTCTTTTTGGGTCATCTTGCCTCGGTGGGAAACGGCCGACCTGTTGAAATACATACACACACACACACACACACACACACACACACACATATACACCTACCATCCGACTTACGACCGAGTTCGGTTCCGAGAAACCAGCCATAAGTCGAAATGGTCGTAAGTCGAACTTTACTACTGAATATCAACAAAACGTTTTTGTAATGACTTTATTTTATTGTTTTATTTTGGTATTTCATGTTTTACTTTACTTTTTATGTTGTTAGTACTATATTTTATACTGTAAGGTTTAGGATAAACACTGTGTACCACACAAATAGTTGTTTATTTCCCAGAAATTTGGCATAAAAAACACGGTCGTAAGTCGAGTGGTCGTAAGTCGAGCAGGTCGTAAGTTGGATGGTAGGTGTATATTTATTTATTTATTTTAACAAGTCGGCCATCTCCCACCGAGGCAAGGTAACCCAAAAAGAAAGAAAATCCCCGAAAAAGAAAATACTTTCATCAATATTCAACACTTTCACATCACTCACACATAATCACTGTTTTTGCAGAGGTGCTCAGAATACAACAGTTTAGAAGCATATACGTATAAAGATACACAACATATCCCTCCAAACTGCCAATATCCCAAACCCCTCCTTTAAAGTGCAGGCATTGTACTTCCCATTTCCAGTATTCAAGTCTGGCTATATAAAAAACAACAGGTTTCCCTGAATTCCTTCACTAAATATTACCCTGCTCACACTCCAACAGCTAGTCAGGTCTCAAAAACCATTCGTCTCCATTCACTCCTATATAACACACTCGCGCACGCTTGCTGGAAGTCCAAGCCCCTCGCCCACAAAACCTCCTTTATCCCCTCCCTCCAACCTTTTCGAGGACGACCCCCTACCCCACCTTCCTTTCCCTACAGATTTATACTCTCTCCATGCCATTCTACTTTGATCCATTCTCTCTAAATGACCAAACCACCTCAACAACCCTTCTTCAGCCCTCTGACCAATACTTTTATTAACTCCACACTTTCTCCTAATTTCCACACTGCCCTTAGACAGGACATCTCCACCGCCTCCAACCGCCTCCTCGTTGCAGCATTTACAACCCAAGTTTCACACCCATATAAGAGTGTTGGTACCACTATACTTTCATACATTCCCTTCTTTGCCTCCATAGATAACTTTTTTGTCTCCACAGATACCTCAACGCACCACTCACCTTTTTTTCTTCATCACTTCTATGGTTAGCCTCATCCTTCATAAATCCATCCGCTGACAAGTCAACTCCCAAATATCTGAAAACCACTTCTTCCATACTGCCTCTCTTCAATGTGATATCCAGTTTTTATCTAAATCATTTGATACCCTCATCAACTTACTCTTATCATTACTCTTATATATATCCATGGGGAAGTGAACCATGTGTGTCGTAAGAGGCGACTAAAATGCCGGGTGCAGAGGGCTAGTAACCCCTTCTTCTGCATAAATGGGTAAAGCAGCTGGAAGAGATGGAATTAAGACAAAGATGATAAAAAACAGGTCAGGATTTAGTGAATATCTTTTATTGTATGTAATGTACATATGCTTCTGCTGTCTCCTCTGTATTCGTCTTAAGAAGCCTTCTGCATAGGTGAAACGTTTCGGAATTAAAGATACATAATTTTTGCACGTGTCTTACTTATCAACATATCTGTATTGTATACTATCATATCCACAGTGTATATATATATATATATATTTATTATATTATATATATATATATATATATATATATATATATGTGTATATATATATATATATTAATATATATATATATATATTATATATATAATATATATATATATATATATTATATATATATATATATACAGTGGACCCCCGCATACCGTACGCATCACATAATGTTCAATCCGCATACCGCTCGCTTTTATCGCAAAAATTTTGCCTCGCATACCGCTCAAAAACCCGCTCACCGCTCTTCGTCTGAGACGCGTCCAATGTGCGCCCTTAGCCAGCCTCACATGTGCCGCCGGTGGCATTGTTTACCAGCCAGCCTCCGCGGTAACATCCAAGCATACAATCGGAACATTTCGTATTATTACAGTGTTTTTGGTGATTTATCTGGAAAATAAGTGACCATGGGCCCCAAGAAAGCTTCTAGTGCCAACCCTACAGGAATAAGGGTGAGAATTACTATAGAGATGAAGAAAGAGATCATTGATAAGTATGAAAGTGGATTTGCGTGTCGCCGACCTGGCCAGGTTGTACAAGAAACCCAAATCAACCATCGCTACTATTGTGGGCAACAGAAGGGCAATCAAGGAAGCTGTTATTGCCAAAGGTTTAACTGTGTTTTCGAAACAGAGATCGCAAGTGAGGAAGATGTTGAGAGACTCTATTGGTGTGGATAATGAAAACAGCTAGCAGGAGATAGCGTCTCTCAAGCAATCATAAGCGAAAAGGCTAGGAAATTGCATGAGGATTTAATTAAAAAAATGCCTGCAACTAGTGATGATGTGAGTGAATTTAAGGCCAGCAAAGGTTGGTTTGAGAGATTTAAGAACCGTAGTGGCATACATAGTGTGTTAAGGAATGGTGAGGCTGCCAGTTCGGACCACAAAGCAGCTGAAAAATATGTGCAGGAATTCAAGGAGTACTTTAGACAGTGAAGGACTGAAACCTGAACAAGTGTTTAATTGTGATGAAACAGGCCTGTTTTGGAAGAAAATGCCAAGCAGGACCTACATTACTCAGGAGGAAAAGGCACTCCCAGGACATAAGCCTATGAAAGACAGGCTTACTTTGTTGATGTGTTCCAATGCTACTGGTGACTGCAAAGTGAAGCCTTTATTAGTGTATCACTCTGAAACTCCCAGACCGTTCAGGCAAAAGAATGTCCTCAAGGAGAATTTGTGTGTGCTGTGGAGGGCAAACAGTAAGGCATGGGTCACTAGGGATTTTTTCTATGACTGGTTAACCATGCATTTGCCCCCAATGTGAAAGATTACTAACTGAAAAGAAATTAGAACTTAAGTGCCTCCTGGTGTTAGACAATGCCCCTGGTCATCCTACAGACGTGGCAGAGCGACTTTATGGGGACATGAAATTCATTAAGGTGAAGTTTTTGCCTCCTAATACCACTCCTCTCCTGCAGGCCCATGGACCAGCAGGTTATTGCAAACTTCAAAAAACTGTACACAAAAGCTCTGTTTGAAAGGTGCTTTGTAGTGACCTCAGAAACTCAACTGACTCTAAGAGAGTTTTGGAGAGAGCACTTTAATATCCTCAATTGTGTAAACTTATAGGTAAGGCTTGGGAGGGAGTGACTAAGAAGACCTTGAACTCTGCTTGGAAGAAACAGTGGCCAGAATGTGTAGACAAAAGGGATTTTGAAGGGTTTGAGGCTAACCCTGAGAGGATTATGCCAGTTGAGGGAATCCATTGTGGCATTGGGAAAGCCCTTTGGGGGTTGGAGGTTAGTGGGGATGATGTGGAAGAGTTGGTGGAGGAGGACAATGAAGAACTAACCACTGATGACTGATAGATCAACTTCAACAGCAAGAGGCCAGACCTGAGGAAACTGGTTCGAAGGGGGGGAGAGAGAATTGAAGAAATTGCCTACTACAAAGATTAAGGAAATCTGTGCAAAGTGGCTTGAAGTGCAAACCTTCATGGATGAAAATCACCCTCACACAGCTATTGAAAAGCCGTGCTGGTGATTATTACACTGACAATGTTGTGAAACACTTTAGGGAAGTCATAAAGGAACGAGAGGTACAGCCACTATGGACAGATATGTTGTGCGAAAGAAGTCCAGTGACTCTGAAGCTGGTCCTAGTGGCATTAAAAGAAGAAGGGAAGTAACCCCAGAAAAGGACTCGACACCTCAAGTCTTAATGGAAGGGGATTCCCCTTCTAAACACTAACACTCTCTCTCCCCTCCTCCCATCCCATCAATCATCACCAGATCTTCAATAAAAGTAAGTGTCATGTAATTGTGCATGCCTTTTTCAGTTTGTGTGTATTAAAATTAACATTTCATGTGGTAAAAATTTTTTTTTTTCATACTTTTGGGTGTCTTGCACGGATTAATTTGATTTCCATTATTTCTTATGGGGAAAATTCATTCGCATACCGATCATTTCGCATAACAATGAGCCCTCTTGCACGGATTAAAGTCGCTATGCGGGGGTCCACTGTATATGGGGGGAAAAACCCACCTGTCTGTGGCTACTTACTTACAAGTAAGTAAATAAGCAAGTTTATTCAGGTATACACAAATACAGTTACACAGATTATCATACATAGCAGCATATGTGTAGAGAACCTGGGATAACACAAAAAAGTCAAAGTGACTAATTCCATTGGGGTCCTTTTAATACCTTATTATTATACTATAAAGGAGATAATATTTTATTATTATACTGTAGAGGAGATATACTAGGAATAAGCTAAAATGAGTTATTTATATTTACATGTGTGTTAGCTAAAAAACTAAAAAATCATTCTCCTCCCTTCCTGTCGTTACATTCATTAGGCCCCTTCTGGCTCTCTTCTTGAACTGGTTCATGCTATGATTGGCTTTGACATAATGCTTTGTAAGTGTGTTTGTGTATACCTGAATAAACTTAATTAACGTTAGAATTGCCTAATTGACTCACTTTTTATCTCCTTTCGGTTCCGCTGGTATATCAAATCGATCAAAGAATTGGAGTCTGACTCTCTCCAGATTCTGAGCGTCTTGGAGGCCATAGATGAAGTACCTACATACGATATTAGGCAAATACGGGAAGGGGTAGTTAGGGCTATATACTGTGCCGTTTGATTCTTTCTTGCTCAAGATACGCTGGTCGCACTCTGTCCCTCGTATGTGCTCGGAATCTTGTTTGTTGATGAAATCTGTCGATGAGAGAGTACAGAACAAATTATTTATATTAGAAACATAGTACAGATAGTGTTAGTGTAAGGTTTATTCAGATTCTAACACAACAAAAAATTCTAGCATAACAAAAATGGTTGGTGGTGATGCTGTGGAGAATATTGTTAGGAAAACAGAAATGTAAGTAATGAGACCTTACAGCTATGTTTCGCTCACCTAAAGCTCTGTCAAGCCAATACAAATACTACACGGGCACAATGGTGCCCAGGTCGGGCACTCTTGAAGACAGTGGTGGTGGGTAGTAGTAACAGTACTAACACTAGTAGTAATAGTAAAAGTAGTAATTGTATTAGTAGTAATTGTATTAGTACTAATAGTTGCAAAAATGATAATGATAGTAATAGTAGAACAGTGGTGGTAGTAGAGGTAGTAACAAAAATAGTGGTAGCAGTAAACATAGCAAAGTAACAGAATTAGTAGTACCAGTGGAAGTAGTGCTAGAAAAAAAATAATAGTGACCCAGTAGTAGTAATCTCGGCATGTGATGGTCTTAAAATGACAAGTGGAGTTGTGCGTTTTAAGAAGGTTCGCCGCTAAGCAGTGAAGCTGCCCTGGTTTTGTGTTACTGGGTACGAGATGGAAACTCTAGCAGCCTCCACACATTTATGCTTGCTAGTGTCTCGTTCTTTAATATAACTGAACGAGCAGCACTCCTCTCCCACAGGTGGCTGATGGAGGTCCCATCGTAACACTCAAGTATTATTAGAGGTATATCACTCCCATACATGTAAACATGTTCACTCAGATGCTTCTCCAAGTTTCATACTGGTTCACCAATGTACAAATTATCACAGTCACTAGATAAAATAATATATAAGCCCTTTTATTATAATAATAATTTTATTATTATTATTATTATATTCAACAAAATACTGTACACTTTATCGTAATTCATTAAGGCGACTTTCCCAGGGGCACTTACCTAACTTTACGTAACTCTCGGAAAAGTTGAATATACCCTGGAATCCCCTGTTTTGTGTGTCAGCGATGCGCTGGAGGGTTGTAAAGGTGAGGAGGAGGGTGCTTCCGGTGCTGAAGATGACCAGGTTTCTCTGCTGGCCACAATATGTCCCAATTAACGGAGATATGTGGCTAGGTCCATCAAACATCTTCACTTGGTCGAACGGGCAGCTGCAAGGACATGAGCAATTACCAGAAATGAAGTTTTATTTAGGTTTTTCACGATGGTGTTATGTAAAGAGCACATGGAAATTAACCAAGAATAACCACAGAGAGTGAAAAAGGTGACTTATTTACAATGAGGTCCATGGAACACAAATACACTAGAACAAGAGTTTTTAGTTAACTTTTTCACGATTTCAGACCACCGGTGGATTGTCCAATATGTGCTGATATTCCCTTCACAAGACAGAGTCAATCATCACCACCACCAGTACTATTAGGCACCAGACAGAGTCAATCATCACCACCACCAGTGCTATTAGCAGGGCCAGATTAAGAAGTCTCCGGGCCCTAGGCTATTCAGATTGGCGGGGCCCCTTTGAGTTACGGGTAAGCGAAGCGACCTCTTCCAGCTTGGGGGTGGGGGGGGGCTTATGTGTTTCTGGGGAAATATGTAGTAAATTAATTGATGTTCTACATCACTTCCGTCGCAACTTGAAAACTAAGCATTTGCGACGGAAGTGATGTAGAACATCAATCAATTGAGATCTGTTATTGAAATGATAAAGACTTAAAGACAGGACAAAGTGCTTTTAAAACCTACAAACGGACAAAGTGCTTTTAAAACCTACAAACGGAAGTCAGTTTGCGTTTTTAGGTTTTTCTTTATAGTATTTTTACCAAAAATGCGTCTTTACTGGTCAAGTAACCCTATCAGGTACCTCCCTTAACATTTAGAGGCGAAAACAAACATTTATCCATATACATCAATGTCTATCAACAACACTTCAGTTAATTTGTCACAGTACAAGTCTAGATAATGTGTAATTACTACAGAAAATTGGAGAGGAATCTCCCATACTCACCCATTAGCGGGAAAACACAGCTGTTCTGATGTAAACAAAGGCGTGTTGAGAGTGCCATCTATGGTTAGGTTTATTTATTTTTATTTTATTTCATTATTTATTTTTGTTTTGATTAATTTTTAAAAATCAATTTTACTCTCCAAACACTTGAACCTTTTAGGTAGGGACCCCTTTGCACTTGCACCATGTGCGCAGTCTTGGATGAACCCCTGAACCCCTTGGACCGTGGGGCCCCCAAATGCGCGGGGCCCCCAAATGCGCAGGGCCCTAGGCAAATGCCTAGTTTGCCTATGCGGTAATCAGGCCCTGGCTATTAGGTACCAGACAGAGTCAGTCATCACCACCATCAGTGCTAATAGGTACCAGACAGAGTCAATCATCACCACCACCAGTGCTGTTAGGTGTACCAGAACATGAGTCAGGGTCATCATCTACCCCCAGTGCTATTAGTACCAACAGGAGTCAATCACACCACCACCATGCTATTAGGCACCAGACAGAGTCAATCATCACCACCACCAGTGCTATTAGGTACCAGACAGAGTCAATCATCACCACCACCACCAGTGCTATTAGGCACCAGACAAAGGCAATCACCACCACCACCAGTGCTATTAGGTACCAGAGTCAATCACCACCACCAGTGCTATTAGGTACCAGACAGAGTCAATCATCACCACCACCAGTGCTATTAGGTACCAGACAGAGTCAATCATCACCACCACCAGTGCTATTAGGTACCAGACAGAGACAATCACCACCACCACCAGTGCTATTAGGTACCAGAGTCAATCACCACCACCAGTGCTATTAGGTACCAGACAGAGTCAATCATCACCACCATCAGTGCTATTAGGTACCAGACAGAGTCAATCATCACCACCACCAGTGCTATTAGGTACCAGACAGAGACAATCACCACCACCACCAGTGCTATTAGGTACCAGACAGTCAATCATCACCACCACCAATGCTATTAGGTACCAGACAGAGACAAGCACCACCACCAGTGCTATTAGGTACCAGACAGAGACAATCACCACTACCAGTGCTATTAGGTACCAGACAGAGACAATCACCACTACCAGTGCTATTAGGTACCAGACAGAGACAATCATCACCACCACCAGTGCTATTAGGTACCAGACAGAGTCAATCATCACCACCACCAGTGCTATTAGGTACCAGACAGAGACAATCACCACCACCACCAGTGCTATTAGGTACCAGACAGAGACAATCACCACTACCAGTGCTATTAGGTACCAGACAGAGACAATCACCACTACCAGTGCTATTAGGTACCAGACAGACAATCACCACCACCACCAGTGCTATTATGTACCAGACAGAGACAATCACCACCACCACCAGTGCTATTAGGTACCAGACAGAGACAATCACCACCACCACCAGTGCTATTAGGTACCAGACAGAGACAATCATCACCACCACCAGTGCTATTAGGTACCAGACAGAGACAATCACCACCACCACCAGTGCTATTAGGTACCAGACAGAGTCAATCATCACCACCACCAGTGCTATTAGGTACCAGACAGAGACAATCACCACCACCACCAGTGCTATTAGGTACCAGACAGAGACAATCACCACTACCAGTGCTATTAGGTACCAGACAGAGACAATCACCACTACCAGTGCTATTAGGTACTAGACAGAGACAATCACCACTACCAGTGCTATTAGGTACCAGACAGAGACAATCACCACCACCACCAGTGCTATTAGGTACCAGACAGAGACAATCACCACCACCACCAGTGCTATTAGGTACCAGAGACAATCACCACCACCACCAGTGCTATTAGGTACCAGACAGAGACAATCATCACTACCAGTGCTAGTAGGTACCAGACAGAGACAATCACCACCACCAGTGGTATTAGGTACCAGACAGAGACAATCACCACCACCAGTGCTATTACGTACCAGACAGAGACAATCACCACCACCAGTGCTATTAGGTACCAGTATGACTTTAAAAGATGTCAATAAGTTGGTTTTACTTTACATGTGGATAACTAGCAACAGAGCAGCTGAAAAAAAATCATAAGGATTATTTCATAATTATTTACAGAAAAACGGCAAATTGTTCAGAGATTGAGTCACATGCTCCCAGTTTTTTATTCATATAACCCCATTATTTGGTGCGCATACCCCATTATCTTGTTCCCATAACCCCATTATTAGGCTCCTATACCCCCATTATTTAGTTCCCATACCCTTCAAGGAGTATAGATACCTCTCCGGTATCCAGTAGCTGGATCGCTAGCGCACTCAGCTCACACACTGAGGTCCGGAGTTCGAATCTCCTCCGGTACGGCTGGAAAATATTAGGGACGTGTTTCCATAAGATACTTGCTGTCCCTGTTCACCAATCAATTTAAAATGGGCACCTGGGTGTTGGTCGACTGGTGTGGGTCACATCCTATGACAAAACTGACCTAATTTGCTCGAAATGCTGAACATAACAAGCAGCTTTCTATATAGCAGTATGTCACTGATGTTAGCTATGGTCTGTATACATTGTACATGTACTGGTAGTAAATAAAGATATTATTATTATTATTATGAAGAAACTCTGCACTACACAGAAGACTTCAACCTACCACATTACCCTGATCATGACTGACTTAAAACAAGAACAATCTTAATTACAAGTAAAATTTTTATATTAAAAAATATATAATAATATATATATATATAATATATAATAAAATATATATATATTATATATATATAAAGCAATAAGATCACAGTAAACAGGTGATTATTCAGAATATGCAAAACAACCACTCTGAAAGAATAGAGAAATTCCAAGACGCTTTCGTGACTACTCAACATTATCAAGGAACTATGAAAGTAAAGCATCCAAGGAAGCTATATAAGGGGTCTGGCAGCACCTCACTATCAGATCCCACAACGGTTTAAACACACACACATATTAAAATATATATATATAATATATATATATATATATATATATATATATATATATATATATATATATTATATAATATATATATATATATATATATATATATATAATTATTTATAGGAAAGTGCCAGCTCTGGAACTGTCCTGGGGACCCTCATCCTCAGAGAAAAGAATAAACTTGCCTCAGGGAAAACTCAAGGTTCTCCCTGAAGCTGTTCGAAAATTTTCTTCTACCACCCTCTGTATATTCTACATATGCTTATTTAAAAACAAGATAAAATGAAAAAATACATTGAAAAAAATACAATATGGAAAAAAACAACATAAAATAACTCAGAGCACTTTTCAATACTTCGTCCAGCTCCTCGGCGGGGGGCCCTGCCCAGAAGCTGCGGCATTTCTTCTCTGGATCCGACACTGATCCTAAAGAGGAAGCTGTTCCCCTGTGGTCATGGTTTCTAGATATTTTTTAACCCACTCTTTGGGGAATTTTTAGAACACACTGGGGACTAAAATCACAAGGTATTAAAAGAGGATAACATCAAAGCCTTTCATAAAAAACCGGGAAGTTTCTCAACAGATGGAACATAAAAATCTGGCTGAAGGTACTGCCCTTTACGGCCAGTATCACAAATTTTAGGCTGGGGGTATTCCTGGTATCAGTAAATTGGGGGGCGATATCTGCCGGAACAGAGGGTAAAATTGGAGTGCGTCCGGGAGACAAAAGGGAAAGCTGGAATACGGCCGGGGAACAGTAAGGGTGAAGCGGGAGATTTTTCCGTATCGGGTTAACCAGAGGAAACAAAAAATGACCTCATAAGGACGGGGCCATAGTAGGGAAAAAAGTTAGTCAAAGATAAAAAAAAAACCAAATTTCAAACTAGAAATACCGCGGGAAAAGCAAAAAGGGGACCCAATAGCAATAGTGGGAAAAATTTACCAAAAACAACTGGGGGGGCCCCATTTTTTGGTGCTAGGGGGATGGGAGTAAACGGGAAACAGCCCAACAGGGAAACAGTCACAAAACCCCAAGGGCAAACAAACCAAGCCGTGCCATACTATCATTTGGGTATCTGCTGGCAGGGGAAATCTAAAAAACAGATGGAACAGAAACATGACCACCCAGAAAAGCATCCCATATGCAAAAAGGAAAAAAAAAAACCCCCTTCCTGTAAGCTTTT